TTTTTTTAGTATTTCTGGACTAAAAATATAAAAAGGCATATAAATTATACACATACATGAAAGAAAAATTAATTATCTTTATTTTGACGTCATTAGTTTTGTAATAGGTTATGTTGTTCAGAAGATATTAATATTAAAAAAAATCAGAAAATTTAACTTTAACCATTGATATCTTTTTTATGTTTTAATTTCGCCAGGTAATTTTGGTAGGGTTGAAATCAGCACAAAAAGTTCTGTCGAGCCACATTTTTGGTTTTTGCATTGCTAGATTGTTGATATTCTAGACTTTCGTGCACAGAACGATTCGGGCTAATTCTGATTAAATCCTGCAGTACGGGAACAGACAAACTGTCGGCAAGTTGGTTGCAAGTTTGGATTATCAAAGACACAAACCGAATCGGGTCAAAAAAAAGGGTTGCATTCGCATGAACTCCAAATAAAAGTGGTGTTTAAGGAGAGTTTAACGAAATTTTTTGTATGGTAAACTCCGAGTTTAAGAGTAGAGTTAAGGCTTAAACTCAATGTGAATGCCTTATTAACAACCAACAAGAGTTAACTTTAAATTTATATTCAGAGTCACATAGTTAACTATAAAAATTCATATCGGCTGAAAATATACAAATTCAAAAAACCAATACTTTTCTATTAAAATTCGAAATTCGTTCCACATAAAAAATTTAAATTTCACAAGAGTTTAACTATGGGGGCATGCTGGTTTAAACTTTTGTTAACTGAGCGTAGTGTATATTAAAATCAATAGTTAAACTTTTGTCAGTGGTTAACTACGCACTGTGGATTTGGTCCTAAATGCATATACATTTAATCACTGTCTCTCGTTTTGTAACTTATGAAATAAATTTCACTTTAACTAAAAAGTACATTTCAAACCCATTTACTTATTATTTATTATATGGTAGGAGAGCTTCTCAAACCATATTGATGCAATTTTTTCACGTTGAAAAATAATAAATATCTAAATCCCGGGACTGATCCCGGGATTGAACCAACGACATCCCAAAAATCCCGGGATCGTAAAAATCGAAAAAATTAACATCCTTAGTAGGCACCCTTCGGCCGTGCTTAGGGATTATAACCCTTACTAAGCAGAATTCTCCTTTCTGTGTTGCCGGAAAAGGAGGGAGGAGTATTTTTGCGCAGAACTTCTTTCTGCGTAGGTGGCCTTCGGCCGGGCCTTGGGGTTTTAACCCTTACGAAGTAGAATTCCTCTTTCTGTGTTGCCGGAAAACGGGGCGGAAGAATTTTTGTGCAGAACTTCTTTCTGCGTAGGCGGCCTTCGGCCGCGCTTAGGGATTATAACCCTTACGAAATCGTCCATCCCACCCAGCTGAAAATTAGTAGGATTGTTCAAAACACCATCATAAATGAAATCTAGAAAGTCCTCATCGATCCGATACCTGGAAAAAAAGTTACTCGGGGTCAAGCAAAACGGTAAGTTTATCATAAAATTAGTTTAGACAAAAATTGTAGACCAGATAATTATCTATAAAAAATGTCTAAATACTTGTTTTCCTAAGAGCCACCGTTTCCGAGATATAACGATTCAAATAGTTGGAAGAGTTGTAATCGTCATAATATGCACACCTTTCCACGCCACCTTTGTTGTACTTATACATATTATGCCGATTACAATTCTTCCAACTTTTTGAATCGTTATCTCGGAAACGGTGGCTCTTAGGAAAAAAAGTATTTAGACATTTTTTTTTTTTTAATTATACTTGCATTTATTTGTTGGATCTGCTTATTTTACATCTATTAAGCCTAACAAAAAGTTTAAAAATCTTACGTGTAATTTTACAATAATCTAGCTCAAACCCTGGGGTTGAGCCCTGTTGGTTTAACGTCGCTTAATTAAAGGCTGGTAGATCTCTTCTTCGCAGGCGTGTTATATTTGTTGTGTTGCACAGGCCACTTACCAGTGGATTTGGGTGGTTACGCAGTTTTATTTTGTATTTTTCTCTGCTGCTGTCGATTACAGATTTAACCATCTATATACCAAGGTCTCTATGTATATTTTCATTGCGGACATACCACGGTGCTCCCGTTAAGGCCCTTAGCGTTTTAGATTGGAATCTTTGGATCCTGTCAATGTTGGTTGCACAGGTCGTTCCCCACAGTTGAATACCATACATCCATATAGGCTTAATCACTGTATTATATACAAGTACTTTATAATCTAGCTTCAGTTTTGATTTACTGTTTATAAGCCAGTTCACGCTAGCTGACTTTAGCTTCATTTGTGTAGTCTTGGTTGATATGTGTTTGCGCCAAGTTAGTCTCCTATCCAAGTGTATTCCTAGATATGTCACCTCATTGGCTTGTGGAATATGGACATTATTTAATTTGATTGGGGGGCATACTTGCGGTCTCGGTGAAAATGTTGTATGTTTACTCTTCTGTTCGTTAACTTTTATGCGCCAGTTTGCCAGCCATTCTTCTATGCGTAGTAAATGTTCCTCTGGTACTCATGAAGCTCTGTTGGGACATTTATTGCGACTTACTAAGGCGGTATCATCAGCGAAGGTGGATGTGAGTATATTCTTGCTAGTTGCAATATCTGAAGTGTAGATGATATACAGCATAGGCCCGAGTACACTACCTTGAGGAACGCCAGCCGTTATCGACATGTCTTCTGAAGTGAAATTAGATACTTTAACAGCAAATTTTCTGTTAGTTATGTATGGTTCAAATATTTTGTGGAATTCCAGCGGCAACAATTTTTTAATTTTATATATAAGACCGTCGTGCCACACTTTGTCGAATGCTTGTGCCACATCGAGAAAAATTGCAGAGCAGTACTCTCTGAGCTCAAATGCCCTTCTGATTTCATTTGTAATTCGATTAACTTGTTCAATTGTACCGTGTTTTTCTCGGAAGCCAAATTGGTGTGCTGGTATTAAATTGCGTTCATGGAGAAAGGGAGATATCTTTGATAGGAGTACTTATTCGAATACTTTGGAAAGACAGGGCAGTAAGCTTATTGGTCTGTATG